CGGGGAGAAGCGCAGCGCCCGCGCCTGATCCCCAGGGGAGAGGACGGCCTCCGTCGAAGCCCCCGCGTCCTCCTCGTGATCCCTCGCCCTCGTCGCCAAAGGTCCTGGACATCCGACGATGTGCTTTTTTCAGCCCCGGCGTTCTCATCGAGTTCGGCTTCCGGGAACAATCCTCGAACCCAGGGCCGTCAAAAATGGGCCTGGGGCGAAAAACTGGCCCTGGGGAAGGGGTCGGGACCTCTGGGGCCGCGAATCGAGCAATCAAATCTTCAGAAATCTGGGCTCCTGGTTGGTGCTTCCCTCACTGGAAACGGCGGCGACTCGGGCGGGCACACGCCGACGCTGACGGCGCCGGTCAGGACGCCGATGCCGACGACGGCGCGCGACGCCGATGACAGCGACCGCAGGCGACCGCCGACGAGGACGACGAGGCGACGACGGCGCCGACGACAAGGCGCGACACCAACGACGCCGACAAGGAGGTGTCGGGCGCACGTTGACATGGATTACATATCCGTGGATCTAGAGCGGTGGCGCCGGATCCACAGATCGAGGAAGGCACTCTCCAACACATGAGGCCAGTGTCGACTCATTTGGTGACGGAGCGCGCCGAATGTGTATGGAAGCGGGACCTGTCACTAATCCGCGCGCCTCAATCCATGTCCGCGCTTACTCGACTTTCGACCGAGCGCGGACGGCGACTCGGGCCCCCACACTAATCGCCGTCGTCCTTCTCGGGCTTTTCCGGGACTGAGCTCGTGCTTCTGTAGAGGCTGGTCGGTCTCTCGAGGTGCTCCGACATGGGGGAGCAGGCCTCCTCGGCCTCCTGGAATGTGTGGTGCCTGAGCGTCGCGCAGAAAATTGCTGCGGGGAAACATGTGCGATGCCCAACACAAACATTGTCCAAACTGGCAGCGGCCGCTGCTGGGGAAGCAACACTTTGTCTCAAATGGGCGACGTCGACGGCGACGTCGACAACGAACCCAAGTCAGAATGGGCAAGAACTGCTGTCGGTTTTCGTCTCCGTTGTCCGTTTCGATTTCGGTCGTGCCGAATGGGGGCCGCGCGTCCAGCCTCAGCTGCTAGGAAAGGCAGGCGGCACCGATCGAGGCAACGACCAAGAGAAAAGCAACGAGGGCCGGGCGACCGCGGGACCCAGAGATGCCGACGCGGGACCAGCCGAAACGCAACTCGGGGCCGTGAGACCCCGCACATGACCAGAGGGGAGATCGGCGCGCGGTGGGGGCGTCAGCCCCCCCCCTACTGCAAAACCCACGCGGGTTGAAGTACCTGGGCCAGCAGGGTCATAATGATGACTTCCAAGCGCACTTTTGGCATCAACATCAGAATGAAAAAGACTAGTCAGACGTCTCTCTCCGTCGGGCGCCAAGGCGGGGACGACAGGGCCCTCGTCCTCCTCCATTCGGAGGGCTTCCGAAGCCCTCCGCATCCAAACGCTGCAGGTACTAGCAGCGCTGTGGGAAAGGTCTGGGACAGGGACCGAGTGGCCATCCGAACCCGCGAGGAAAAGCTCGGCCGCCGCCGACTCCTCGTCTAAAGCTTCTGCAAGGAGGGGCGGCCGAACCCCGGGAAACACCTGGGCTGCATTCGCATCGCCACCAGGCAGAACGGGATCACTCGGGCTGGCAGAATGAAAGAGGAAACGCGCTCGGGAAACCATGGTCCCGCCTCGACGGTGACGTCGGCCCGCCTTGAGTGACGCCCCTTGTAAATGCGGTTCCCGTTGCTGTGCCTGGTAGACTTTGTGGGGCGTGGCAATCGACGCCTAGACCCGAAACGCGACCCTGCGATGAATGGCAGAAATAGAGGCACGATCTGAACAGGGCGGCGTGATGCACTTGTGTCCTCTCCCCCTCCACCATGTTAGCTAGAAAAGGCCCAGAACAGGCCTGCAAACCGATGGGGGGGGGCCGTGAGTAGACAAACGACTGACCCTGCAACAGGAGGAACATTGCCAAGAACCCGAGCGTACTTCAAGACCTGTGCTCTGGATAGGTCTCCAATCACAGCGCGGATCTACGTTGCCTGCTTGGAGGGAACCCCTGGTAGGCTTGACCCACTGAACTTCTGCGAGGTCAAGGCTGGGCCACAGCGGGGGCATTTCCGCCGCCGAAAGTGCCGCCGACTTCGAAAGCTTAGCGTCTTGATCGGGCCTGGCCCCTGGGTCCTCCGAGGGTTGGGGGGTGTCCTGGGTGGCCTTCGCCAGCGCTGTCCGTTTTGGCTCCGACGTCAACAAAGTGATTGCCAATATGGCACGTTTTGTCATGCGCTGCCGCCCGCTCCTCAAGCGATTGATGAGCTTTCACCCGGTGGATAGCTCTAACCTTCCACGTGTCCGGGAGCAAGCTGGGGGAGCCGCCGCTCGAAATGGTCGAACTGGATGGCTTGACGCATGGCCGCAACCTCTCTCCTGCTAGCGCTGACTGGGGTCGGGCCGTGATACCTGCCGACCATTTTTAAATGGTCGCTGATTGCAACAAAAAACTAGTCAATCATGCACTATCTGCTCTGAAAAAGCTACCCTCGGTGAAAATGCGGCACCGAAACTCGAATGCGTCGACTTCCTGGGACAAGCCGTCCTTGGCCCGGAAAAAAAAGCAGAGGGCGCCGTCGAGGGCCCCGGAACATACCCCCCAGGATTGGCAAACATACGAACTCAAGACCTGACATACTTGGGCTCGTCCAGGGCCTACTGGCTGATACCTCGGTCCACTAGCTTTCCACGACTCTTAGCGACAGCCTGACACCTGCAGGCCTAAAGATGATGTGGAGCGTGTCGGCGGCCACGCCGCAGAGAGGGCAAACATGGTCCAACTGGTATCCCAATCTGAGAGCCTTTGAACGAGTTCAAATAGCATCCATGGCCGCCACCCTGATGCAACCCTTCCCAAAAACATTGAACTTTCGCTTCCTGTGCTCGGCTTGGATTGCGACGAAGCGTCAGCGAAACGGTTGATCCCATTTAGTAACAACTTCCCATTTCAACCTTCTGAATACTGCACGTGTAGTGTTGTTTGATGAGTGAAAAGGGCATCAACATCATGGATCAACACCTTAGTCCGTGACGAACGTCGCAGCATTTCCCATCGTCCACGAGATCCCCCCAGGGAGTTGCGCATGGCAGCTACTGGTCATCCAACAGCTCGCCATGAGACAAGGAGACAGAACAACACCCTCCCACGCCAACCTCAGCTTACTGAGCGGAGCGGAACTTTCAAAAGCCCTCACGGGGGTGCACAAAACCTCCTTGTGCCATCATCTCAACATGGGGGCTACAACCCCCGCCCATTCGGTGTCCACTTCAATCTGGGACAGAACCGTCCGGGAACGTTGGCCAGCCCGCGGTTTACTAGTCATAGCAGCCGCTCGCCGAATAAAGAGGAGTGCGTGATCTGTGCCTCTACGTACTTCATTGCCGTTCAACAGACCTGGCAAAAGGTCTGCTGAGAAGACACGCGAGGCGCGCCTGGAAACCGCAGCCAGACGGAGCTTGGCCACGCGGCCCGTCCGCCTAACAAATAGGCCCATCCAAATCTTGATTTTCTTACACCACCCTTTGATCCTGAAGCTTTGCCAACAGAATTGTCAATCCCAAAATTGATCGAACTACCCGTGCTGGGGCCCGTGAACCTCATGCCTAACTTCTTCTGGATCGCGCGACCAAGCGTGGCAGAGGAACAGACAAGGCAAGATGAGGAATACGAAGAACACTGGTGCGAGGATGATGAGGGAGACCGGAAGGAATGTGACGGTGACGGCGACGAAGACCAGGACAAGCAGGAACACTAACAATAAACGAGGGGTGAGGAGGATAAGGAGGAGGACATCAAGGAATAACATGATGCGGATTCTGATGATGATGATGACGACTCGTGGTAATGGCGTTGATGGTGACGGCGATGTTTGCCACGGGCACAAAGGGGAGAAATTTCTCAACGCTTGTCTCCCCGATGAGGAATCGAATGGGAATTGGGCCTCTCCAAACTAACTTGCGCGCGAGAGGGGAAGCAACTTTTTTGTGTGAATCACCCAGTCCTCAAGGGGGCGGAAGAAGACGCAGTATGATCACCACTGTCAAAGTCGCACCTGGGACTTGACACGATCTACAATTTCCTGCAGCTGGTCGCCGAGACCCAGGGCATCGAACATTGCACATCCTTCGGGCCATCGAGAATCGAACCTGGTTTCATGACGCAGAAAAGCTTGTAGACATCACCGCTAGACTCAGTCTGCACGAAAGCAAATCCGTTGCTAACCGACGAAATCGACCTTCCACCCCGCTGCTGACGACATCGGCTGGATCACGGCCTCGAACTCGTTGCGAAGCTTACCGGTAATCAGAAGCTGCTTTCTCGTGTCACAAGCGCGGAGCGGGTTCATGCGCAGGCGCCTGTCACCATTGGGCGTGACGAAAGGAAAACCATGAGCTTGGCGCTGGTTCTTGCTGCGTTGTCAACTGGCGAGAACGCAAGGCTAATTTACCTTCTTCCAAGAATTCTGACGGGCGTCCGTCATCGCGAAATTAACTCCCTGAGTCGCACAAGCCGAGAGAACCGACACACCTGCCTCAAAGAGAACCTACCGAATTAATATCACCGAATCCAGCCAGTATCCCGTTGGACAAGACATCAGGCGTGAACCACGACAAACAGGATCAGAGCTGATGGTACGAGCCTTCTTTGCTGCACAACCTATTCTTTCACTGTTGCCGCCGCTATCACTGCTGCCGACCACCGAGAACACACGCAACTCAGCAAGAGTCTTCTATAGACGCGATACTGTCGTTCTAAACCTTGAGTGGAAGCCCTTCAATGCTGCTGCTAACTCGGAGACCTGAGTTGACAACTTTTCAACATGCTTCATGGAAGCCTACATCACGGTGATGGCCTCCTGTTTCTTGGTCACCTGAGCCGTCAGCTCAACGATACCACCATCTTTTTCTTTCGGCAGCGCGCGCCCTGGGATCCGAACGGATCGAATGAGCGAGCAAGCAAGGCTAGGGCAACATCTTTCCGCTTGAGCCAACACGACTTGAGCCAAACTGGCTACACATGATGATGCTTATGATGATGACGATGATGCTTCTGATGATGATGACGATGATGATGCTGATGATGTTGATGATGATGATGATCATGGTGGTGATAATGATGATGATGCTGATGACGATGACGATGACGATGATGATGATGATGATGATGATGATGATGATGATGATGATGATGATGATGATAATGACGGTGATGATGAGGATGATGATGATGCTGATGATGACGACGAGGAGGAAGAGGATGAGGAGGCATATCATTGCTTTTGGTTGTTAATTGGGTCCTTCTTTCGGGGGAGGAAGCGCGGCCTTCTCGGCCTCACACGAAGGGTGGGGGGGAGGACCAGACAAGGGAGGAGGGGGAGGAAGAGGGGAACGAATGCATCGGTTTCGGTCTCCCATGAAGGGTGGGGGGAGCGAAGACCAGACAAAGGAGGAGGGGGAGGGAAAGGGGGACGAATGCATCGGTTTTGGCTTTTTCTGGCCTCCAGCAGCGTCCAGAGGCCGCCAAATACCCCCTGGGGATCCAGACCTCAGGCGACTCGAGCGAATCGCACCAGAACCTATCGCGCCGGGGCGAGAGCGCCATTGTGAACGATGGGAACAAAACGTCGATCCTAAAACGAAGCCAGCGCTGCAGCGGTAACACTTTGCCGAAACACCGGAAAAGGTCCGAGAAGAGCAAACCATGTCGAAATCACCTTCTGGAATTCCATATGCTAGAAAATGTCATGCGGGAGAAGACGGGCTCCGCTAAGACAGGATCCGGGAGGGAGGAGAACGGGTATACATCTGAATAACTGTGGAGAGTGGAAAAAGGGGGCACCCCACCAACACCACGTACATATGAACCCTGGGGGACAAATCCAGTGGGAAAGTATTCCGCTAGATGGACCACCTGGGTGCCCGTGAGAAGGGGAGACAGCATGAGGAGAGCAGGAATGACGCCAACGCACCACCCCGCAAACGCTGCGAACGTGGACGAGCTTGAAGCCTCTGATGGGGTCTTGGGGGAAGGGGCCTTCCCCTGCGAGCAGCTCTCCGAGCTCTGCGAGAACCGACTCCCGAAGTCCCGGGGGCCGCCGGAGGATCCCGGCGAGGGAAGGGGAGAGGGAAAGGCAGAGGACGGGGAAAGACTATTCCCAAACTGGTGTGCATTCACGGTGAAGCTGGGGCCGGCTGCGTGCAGCAGGTTCCGTACCCCCCCGCTTTTTCCCCTGCCCCCTCCTCCGGTCCAGAGTAATGATACAAACTGATGTTGAGAGGAAGCGGCGTCAACACATAATTTCGAAGGTCCGCGCGGACCCCCCTCCCTGGCGCCCAGACCGCGCCAAGGGCGGCGCCAGAGGTGCCAGGGGGCCCAGCGCAGATCCAGGAAAGCCGATCGGACCTCTGAGAATTCATGTCTAAGCAAATTTTCCTTCGACTTTCGTCCACCGCGAATGTCTCCTTGCGCACGGCCAGCGCCTCACAAAAATACGCAGGCGTGCGCGGGAATGGGCTCGCGGCGTCGGCGCCGCTCGCAGGAGGCGCGACAAGAGAACACTGAAAGCTCTGGGCTTCCCCTTCTCAGGAAGGGTAAATATGCGCAAGCACAGAAAACATTTGACTTCTATGAGAATGCGTGAAGATGTCGGAAATGGAGGGGGAGATGAACATCCAGGAAGTATATCAAAATATACAGAGACCATGCCACTGATGTAGATTTGTTTGTCTCCCGGGGCCCCTTTTACCCTCCAGGGCCCAGATCTGGCCGGACTCTCGGCGCGCTCCCCCCCCCCCGAGGCGCCGACGACAGCATCCCTCATGCGGTGGCGATCGGCCTGCGTTCCGGCCAGCGCCCAGATCGCCGACTCGGGAAACCCTGGACTGGAGGCCTCCTGGGTGAGGTCCGAATGGATGGGGTCGGAGGATCGCACCGCATCGCAGGTGCATCGACGACGTCGGCGTGGAGAACATCGGGCTCCGTATCAAGCCGAATCGCCAATGCATCGGCGACGCGGTGCGATCTGCCGACCCCATTTCCTGGGGCCCTGGCGGGGCCCGAAACCCGCGCGATCCTCGATCTCGCTTCCCCGAATGCCGCGCATGTCGAGCAGTGACCCGCCCCCCACCTCGCGCACACGAGTTGAGATGAAGTCGGACACGTCCCTCTACAGGAGGAATGTTCAAACATACGCAAAAAATAATATGGGGACGGTTCTTCGAATATGTTTGAACGATTTTTGAATACTTTTGGCTATTTTGAATTATTCGTCCGAAATCCGCCTGCAGGGGGAACATGCCCGACCTAAGTCAAGATCTAAAGTTTCTGAGGATCCTGCCGTAGCGTGCTTCCCTGAACTTGTTGGCCTCACCGCGCTGCGCAGCCGAACGAATCACAGACGCCGTCGATCTCGTCCAATCAAGCCTGTTTTTGAAATTCCCCAGCCCTCGATGAGACCCATGAATTGGTCTCCGCATAGCGCAGTTGAACAACCTCATGCTCGTGCTCGCGTTCGCTCTCTGCTACCATGTGCCCGCTTCCACGGAGCGCCTCTCCAGCATCAACGCCCTGGCCCTCTTTTCTTGCCCTGCTGCAGCTGTGTGCTGCTCATACGTAAGAGAGGCACTTCAAGAACACGGTCAAGGGTCGCGCTGCCATGGATTCAGACCTTGAGCCTGTGCTGCAACGCGGACATACTCCGAGGATGCAGCCGAAGTGAACTGCATGGCTAAACTTCATGGCTCGCTGTGGTGAGTGTATGCCAGACCTATCCGTTGATCACAATCTCCATACTTGCCAAGTAGGCAGGCCCATAGTCGAGCAGTAACTCCTCCCCAACTTGCAACTTCCGAGTGGTGTACAATTCCACGCGTGTCCCATCCAGCTCTAAGTCTTCCCAGCCGCCCTCGGCGTGCTCCTCGTAGCTCAGCACCATCATGTACGACTCCCCACGCCGCACCCTGGCCACGACGTTCCGATGTGTCTTCGAGTGGTTCATATACCGCGCCCAATTCGAAGCATCTGGATCGCGTGCGTCAATGCTCCAGCCGTTGCCCACGTCGAAGACGTAGGACCCAACCCCCCTCGCGTTCATAGCCTCATCGTTCATCATCTCTCCCTCGTACAAACCGAGAAAGTGGCCTTCAGGAATGGTACACGCGGCGAAGACGCCATTGCCCTTCCCTTCCGCAGGACCGACGCGCAACGGGAACCCACCCGCTGCAGTCCAGTGCTCCCTTGGCGAAACAGCACGCATCTGAGGTCACTTCACGAACGGGCAATCACTGCCGTAAGGCAACACACGACAATGCACACCGCAGCTGGGATTTGAGCATCCGTGGTCTCTGCGGGGGGCGCGGTGACGACGATAGGGGAGTGGAGGAAGGATGGTGGCAAAGGCGAGCGGGGCAGAGCGAGAGCCTGCGCTTGCGGAGCAGCTGGACGAAACATCTGCGACAGGGGGGCGCCAAACAGTGCGCTGCCACATCTGAAGTGGGATTGTTGCAATCGCGGGGCAACCGTTTCAATGGGAAGCTGTGATTTGGGTGGTGTGGACGAGCGCTGCGCCCCGCGGCTTGTCTTTCAGATCAATGCAATGCGGGCACTCTCGGTGGTGCTGTCCGCCACCCACTCAGCGTCCCTGAGCGAGGCTCTGAGAGGGACATCTTCCAGCTGGACGTGCGGGGAGTCCATCCCCGCACCGAATGTAAGCCCACACGCTCTCATGCGCCTGATGCTTCTAAAGATCCACCACCGTGCCTTGAGGCACGAGTTGGAGTGTCCCCAGGTCCTTCCTTGCCCCGATCCCTGAAACCTCAGCCCTCAATCCTGAAGATTCTCTAAAAGGGCCCACGCCCCGATTCCCCAAACTCCCGGCGTGCCCCCTGGAGCCCGTCGCGGCTCCCCGCGTGAGTCTTTCGGGCCCAGGAGGGCCCCAAGAAGGGCCAACAGCACCCCAAGAGGCCGCCAAGACGGTCCAAGAGGGCCTCGAATCGCCGCGCGATCGGTCCAAGGCGCCCAAGATGGCCCCCAGATGGCCCAAGAAACCTTCGAGGCGCGCAACAAAGGCCCCAAGAGCCTTCCCAAGAGGGCGCCGGGAGGCCCAAATCATTGGTTCCCCTCGCGTTTTTCAATGTTTCGGGGGTCCTCGACTTGTCGAGCTTCTGGCGCTCCAACACTGCCCACGAGGCCCCCAAGGCAGCCCCAAGACGGCCCCAGAGGCTCCCAAGAGGGCCCCAAGACGGCCGCAGAGGCCATCAAGAGAGCCTCAAGACGGCTCCAGAGGCCCAAGACGGCCCAAAAGCCCAAGACGGGCCCAAGAGGGGGGCACGAACCGAAAATCCGAGCCTTCCGCGCAAAGAAGCACCGAGGAGGCTCCAAGATGCCCCCAAGAGTCCCCATGATGCCCCCAGCAGGCCCAAAGAGGCCCCAAAGAGGCCCCCAAACAGCTCCCCAGAGGCCTCGACGAGATCCCGACGGACATCCACGAGGCCTCAGAGCCACAACCCAAGCACGGTGGCGGGATCGGCCGAATCCCATGAGATCCGCCGCCCCCTGTGGTCTTGTCACAGGGGTGCCCGGCGTTATAGACGCTACCGTTTATGGTTTTGGTTCTTTTTCAAAAAAGAACTCCCCCTGGGGCTCCGGCCCAACCCGCCAGCCACCCGGAAAGACCCGGAAGGGATCGCAAGACCCAGTTGCCAAGGCTTTTCCTGCTCTAGATGGCTTCAAGATGGCCCAAGGTGGCCTCCAAGACGGCTACGATGGCCCTTAAGTTCGCTCAAGATGGTCCAAGATGACTTCCAAGACTGCCAAAGACAGTCCAAGATGCCTCCAAATCGGTCCAAGAGGCGTCCAAGAGGTTCTTCAGGAGGTCCCGAAGAGGCTAAAATCATTGTTTTTCGAAAGGTTTTGATGGATTTTGGCATTTGCTCCTTTTCGGCCTTCCGACGGCGCAAGAGGCCCCCAAGATCGCCCCCAGGGCGCCCAAGAGGCCTCCAAGATGGCCTCAGGACTGTCCAAGAGGCCCAAGACGGCCCCAAGAGGGCCCAGAGATGGCCCAAGAGGCCTCCAAGATGCCCAAGCTGGCCTCCAAGATGGCCCTGGAACACCCCAACAGGGCCTCAAGTCGGCCTAGAGAGAGGCCCCCAAGACGGCTTCCGACGGCGTCATACGGGCCAGGAGACCACCAAGACGGCCCAAGATGGCTCCAAGATGGCCCAAGATGGCTCCAAGAGGCCTCGAAGAGGGCCTGAAGGCCCGAAGAGGCCAAAACCGTTGATTATCCTTAGGTTTTTGAAGGATTTTGGCATTTGCTTCATTTCGGCTTTCCGACGGCCCAAGACGGTCCAATAGACCCCACGATCGCCCAAGAGGCCTGCCAAATGGCCCCAGAACGGCCCAAGAGGCCCCCAAGACGGCTCTGGAGCATTCCAAGAGGGCCCCAAGACGGCCCACGAGGTCTCCAAGGCGCCCAAGATGGCCTCCAAGAGGGCCCTGGAGCACCCCAAGAGGGTCCCAAGTCGGCCCAGAGAGGCCCTCAAGATGGCTTCCGATGGCTTCCGACGGACCAGGAGGCCATCAAGCTCCAAAATGGCCCAAGACGGCCCCCAAGAGGTCTCCGAGACGGCCCCAGAGGCCACCAAGAGGGCCTCCAGGAAGGCCCGAAGAGGCCAACATAATTGACTTGCCTTAGGTTCTTGAAGGATTTGGACATTTGCCTCTTGTCGATCTTCCGACGGCCCGAGACGGCCCCCAAGAGTCCCCAAGCTCGCCCCCAAGACGGTCTCAAAAGGGCCCCAAGACGGCCGACGAGGCCTCCAAGACGCCCAAGATGGCCTCCAAGACGGCCCTGGAACACCCCAAGAGAGCCCAAAGCCGGTTCAGAGAGGCCCCCAAGACGACTTTCGATGGCGTCAGACGGGTCAGGAACGCGCTAAGACGGCCCAAGAGGCTCCCAAGACGCCCCCCAAAGGCCCCCAAGAGGCCCAAGGAGGCTTCCAAATTGCCTCCAACAGGCCCCCAGGAAGCTCCCAGGAGACCCCAGAGGTGCCCCGAGAGGCTCCCAAGATGCCCCCTCCTCCTACTCCTCTTCCTCCTTCTTCTGCTGATCTTTCCCGCCATCCTCCCCCAAGTGTTCCCCGAAGAGTTTCCACAACGGCTGGGGGAACACATGGCCCGATAGCTTGGCAAAGCTCTTGCCACAACGCTCGGCCACATTGGCGATTCCAAAAGGCAGTGTGCGGTGATTCGCCGTAGGCGTCTTCGATCCGCCGCCCCCCTGTTGGCTTGCCACAAGGTTGCCTGGCGTGCTAACTCCTGTGCGGCTTGGTTTCTGTTCTTTTCCAAAAGAGCTCCCCCTAAAGCTTCGCCCCAGTGGGCTGGCCACCCAGAAGGCCCTTCCAGAGGTGGTTGCCAACGTTTTTCCCGTGGCTCCAAGGTGGCCGAAGATGGTTTCCAAGACGGCCAAGATGGCCCTCAAGCTCGCCCAAGATGGTCCAAGATGGCCTCCAACATGGCCCAAGAGCTTCCAAGATGCCTCTAAGTTCGCCCAAGAAGCCTCCAAAACGGCCCAAGACGGCCCAAGAGGCCTCTGGGTTTTTGTTTGAAGGATTTTGGCATTTGCTTCTTTTCGGTCTTCCGACGGCCCCAGAACGGCCCAAGAGACACCCAAGCTCGCCCCCAGAGGGCCCCAAGACGGCCCAAGGGGCCTCCAAGACGCCCAAGATGGCCTCCAAGATGGCCCTGGAGCACCCCAAGAGGGCCCCAAGTCGGTTCAGAGAGGCCCCCCAAAACGGCTTCCGAAAGCATCAGACGGGTCAGGAACGCGCTAAGACGGCCCAAGAGGCCCCCAAGACGCCCCCAACGGCCCCCAAGAGGCCCAAGGAGGCCTCCAAGGTGCCTCCAACAGGCCCCCAGGAAGCTCCCAGGAGGCCCCAGAAGTGCCCCGAGAGGATCTCAAGATGCCCCCTCCTCCCCTTCCGCCTCCTCCTACTCCCCCCTCCTCCTCCTCCTGATCTTCCCCGCCATCCTCCCCCAAGTGTTCCCCGAAGGGTTTCCACAACGGCTGGGAGAACACATGGTCCGATAGCTTGGCAGAGCTCTAGCCAGAACGCTCGGCCACATGGGCGATTCCAAAAGGCAGTGGACGGCGGTGATACGCCGTGGGCGTCTTCGATAAAGCTTATATCCTCATCCTTATACGGCGTACTCCCAAATGCGACGGTGCTGGAACCCTTGAAACGTCCTGAGGTACAATGTCCCGCTGTGCGGGTCACTCAGAACATACTGCGTATCAAAGGCAAAGCTGAAACCTTTCGGGGCACCGTGATAGCACTCCTTATCACTGCCGTTCGCGCCCGAGTGCTGCGCAACGCTTCAAACAGCCTTGACGATACAATCAAACACTTTCGTGTTGTTGTTGTGCCACATGAAATAGATCGGACGCGTACGTATCTACACCCATGTTCATGAACGTTTACACGTAGATCAATTTCCGGGTCATCGTTCGTGCCATGGCCTGTGCGTGGTAGGATGTTGAAATATTTGTCATGGAGCATGGCAAGTCTGCTGACGTCGGGGGGACATCTCCAGTCAAACATCGACCATCTGGACCCGACGCGTGATCTCACGCACTGTACGTACCTGCCATAATGCCCCCTCGCAAGGTTTCACCAATTTTCAATAGGCCTTCTTCGTCCTCGCATCCCAATGTCCCCCGGCGAACCACCGCCACCCACGCGGCTTCCGATGCCTCTAAGATTAGGTCGGGCTTGTCCCCCTACACGCGGATTTTGGACGAAACATTAGGGATGATCAAAACATGCTCCCAAATGGTCAACAAATGATCAACACACCGTCCCCATTTTTTTTTGCCTATTTTTGAATATTCCTCCTGTAGGAGGGACATGCCCGACTTCACCCTAAGATGCCCAATCTGGCTTCCAGGGCAGCCCAAAGCCGCCACCAAGACCGCAGACCTGGCCCCGTATTGCGGCAGGAGGGACCGAACACCCCTCAAGGGAGCCCGAGAGGCCCCCACGAGGCTTCCTCAAATTGTCCGCTTCTCGAGAGATTTCCGCCTGGCACCCTTGGGGGGAGCGCTAGGGGGGGGGGGGGGCTGGCTCAGGGAGGGAAACATCGAGCTGGAATCGGCGATGTATCGCAGATAGATCGTAGATAGGCCCCCGATGCCGCAACCGCACGTTCATGGGCTGGGTGGGCTGTCGGGCCCTTATCGGCGATCAGGGCGATTGGGGGACAATTCATTCCCCCGTTGCCCCCGACTCTCTCTTTCGCCCCAGCAGACACCGAGAGGCCTTGAGATGCCCTCATGGCTCCCTCAGCGGGCGCGGGCAGCTGCACTATCGCCCCTCAAGGAGTAGGGAACCCACAAAAAGACGCACGCGCCCAGCCACGTACACGAACGCGGCCCCCCTGTCCGCGAGGCCAGCCTCGCGCTACGAACCGTAGCGCAATGCATACTCTCGAAACCTGCGACAATTCATATACACGTGCATCGTCCTCCTCGTCCTGACTCGTCCTCCTCCTCCTCCTCCTCCTCCTCTTCTTCCTCCTCCTTCTCTCCCTCCCTGGAACGCCCCATATGTTGGCCGACCCCTGAAATCCTGCGCCCAAGAATGTTGGCACTTCGCTTTTTCGGAGCAGGGCGAGTTGAGGCAACGGCAGCTCAAAATGGGTCCCTGGACCCCTCCCGCGATCCAAGCGCACCAGTTCTTCGAGCCGCGTCCAGCCGTGGCGACGAAGGGGCCCCAGGAAGGCCAACCACCACTGTCTCAACTCGCCCTCCTCCGACTCGAGCGGCAACGATAGCAGGGGATAAGCTCAGGGGTGGGAAGCATCGGAGTGAAATCGGCGATACATCGCCGATAGATCGGCGACAGGCTTTAGACAGCAGCGTTCTGCCGCAGCCTTTCCACCCAACAGGTTGAGGTTTCTAGATTAATGAAGGATCTCAGGGACACACAAATACATGGACAAATCCTAGGATTCCCCATGTACTCAATATTTTCTGGATGTTCGTCTTCCCCTCCACTTCCCACATGTTCCACATGTTCATGTGAATCGACGATTATTTGTGCATGTGTCCTGAGATTTCAAGAAAAAAGCTCCCGACCCGCCTCGCACACCCTGCATACCCGGGCCACCAGGCCTCAAGGATCCCAGTGCTCGCTAGGTATCCAGCTCCGCGCCTTCGGCGAATGCTGCACACCACGGCCACCAGGCCTGGGTATCCGCCATACGCTCTCGGGTGGGGAACACTCGAAGCAAGATATAGTTCCACGACGCGACGGGATCTGGGGACGACGGCGGCGACGGCGACGAGCGCTTCTGACAGATCCCCGGGGCGCTGCAGGTGCAGCCGCCGGCACGGGCGGCGAGGGCGGCGCCGGCGCGTCTTCACCCCACCGGCCCGGGCTGAGCGCCTGCCCCTCGCAGCGCCGTCGATGCCACCGTCGTTCGCTGTCGCTCGTCGTCGTTCGCAGTCATTCGCTGTCGTGCGCCCTCGTCGCCGCCAGCGCGGTCGTTGTCAGTCATGTTGCCGCCGCCGCCACCGCCGCCGCCGCCGCCGTCGCCGCCGTCGTCGTCGTCGTCGTCGTCGTCGTCGTCGTCGTCGTCGTCGTCGTCGTCGTCGTCGTCGTTGTCGTCGTCGTCGTCGTCGTCGTCGTCGTCGTCGTCGGCCGTCGTCGTCGTCGTCGTCGTCGTCGTCGTCGTCGTCGTCGTCGTCGTCGTCCTGCGGTCGCTCGGGACGATCTGGGCACCCCCAGACGCCTCTCGGCGACCGACTACGGTAGGTTTGGGCGGCGTCGCGCGCAAAGGTCGATCGTTCATCCTTGAATCGATCGTGGCCCCGATCGTTCAAGGATGAATTCTGTCGGGTCCAACTGCGTTACAATGTCCCTCGGTGCTTCCGCGTCGTTCTATCATGAAGCGTTCAACCTTGAACGCCTTCACCGGCGTCGCGGGCGCGCCATTGTGGCACGAACCGACCGTACCTCGAACCCCCCACCTCTTTCGTAAATAGCTCGTTCGAGAAACAGGCGCCTTCCACACAGCGATACAGTCATCGTGTCACCATGAGGAGCGCCAGATAAGGAACGACGGGGCTTTTCTGGCCACTGCGGGACCTCGACCATGAACAGGTTTCCCTGTCTTGACCCAAGGGGCCGTCCGAAAACCAGAGCCCCCCCCTGAACCCACAATAATCCCTATTTCAACGTCTTGTCCGTAGCTCGTTCGAGAAACAAATGTCAACCAAATAGCAATTCGGGAAACCAATTGATTCCGACACCGCGATTACCGGGACCGTTTCTGGGGTGCGTTCTGACCAGCATTTCGAAGCGAACCCAGCTGTGGCGACGAGGGCCTCCAAGGACGCCTCAAAAAGGCGGAAACGAGGCAAGGGTGGCGGTATCGGTATCTTTTCCTCTTCCGACCCAGACATCTGGCGCTCCAGTTTTTCCGATGCGTCGACCCCAAAGATCTGGGCCACTTCCCCAGGGCCTGCTTTTCGCCACGAACATAATGTTCTGACGGTCCTGGGGCATGGTGAAGGCTCCCCGCAACCGAAAACGGCTTTAACCGGCCGCTCCAAATTTTTCGGAGCCTCGGATCTCAGGTCGGGAATCTACTGACCCGGGTCAGTCCAAACCAGGGTCAGTCAGGCCCTGCAAGATCCTGCAAGATCCTGCGCCCAAGCCAAGGTCATTGCGCCCCTGGCTCTGCAGGATCCTGCAAGATCCGGCGCTCTGACCGACCCCCGTTTACATCGACCTCCGTCTCGTGAGTCCCGATCAGGGGAGCCGTGTCTCCCGCCCCACATGGCGGATTCGGGAAACCTTTAAACCTAAAAACGCTGTCATCTCTTTGGGGCGAATGTTTTTGGATTCCGACTATTGCCAGCCCCTACGGAGGAACAACCTACGCGCATCTGTGACCTGCACCGCGCCAACGACGCACAGCGACGCTGCGTGCTGGCGACACAGAACGCCCCACTCACCCTCTGCCGCGGACCTCGCGGGACTGGGAAGACCAAAGTCGCAGCATGCGTGGCGGACGCCTACATGTCCTGTCCCCCCCCTGGGTAGGGAGTAGGCTGCTTTGGCGGCGCCAGCGGATCCATGGACAACCTGACAGAACAATTCGGAAATAACCTGAACCCAAACAACAAGGACCTGTTCCCGCGCATGGCAGTGCTCCTCGCGCACGAGGACAAGGTGAAGGGCAGCGTGGCCAAAACGATCACCCCTGCGGCCAAGTACGCCAATATGTACAACGTATCAGAAGACGACGTCACCACGGGGTATGCGAGCTGGTTCCGCGAGTTTCGCGCGGAAGTCGCTACCGAGGCAACGCTTATCTTGGCCGCGCGCGATGCGGGGGCCGACCTCCGGGAGACAAAGTTCCTCATATGTATCCTCGACGAGGCAGGACAAACGTCCGAGCCCATGGCCATCATGTCCCTGAACCACGCCGTCAGGTGCGGAGCCAGGGCGGTTCTCTTCGGCGACGAGCGGCAGCTGTGCCCAACTGTCAAATCCCAGCAGGCACTCCAGTGGGGGCTAGGCGTTTCCGTCCTCGCCAAGTACGTAGCAGCCATAGGAGACGTCCCCGAGTGCAACGTCACGCTGGAGGAGTGCTATCGGATCTATCCGTCCCTGCTCGCGTGGCCCTCGCTCACGTTCTACGGGGGCCGACTGATCTCCGCCATCCTGGACCCCCTGCAGCAGCGGCCATGCGCCGAAGGACTGGACTGGCCACTCGCGCGACCGCTGTCCGACCAGGAATACGAAGCAGCGAAGAGCGAGGAGGCCAGCTACGAGCAGGAAGACTCCCTGATCGACACCACAGGCGTATTCAGGAGTAAGGCAGCTTGCGTGGCCCCGAAAGGGAACAGCGTCACCGGCCACGACCGGCATCGCTTCATGCTCGCCCACATCCCCTCGCAAGAGGTGCAGTCCAAGTTCCAGGACGGCTACGCGAACATCCACGAGGCACACGCGGTGGTTGCATTGGTGGGCGCCCTCGAACCATGGGAACGACGGACCAAGAACACCATCCTCATACTGTCGCCTTACAAATTCCAGCTGACCCCCGTACTTGCCGGCAACCCGTGCTCACTCCACGACATCAGACGTTGCTCGCGAGCGGCGCAAGGGGACGGCACCGACATGACCAATGGCCCCAGCTCCCTACGACAACAAGGACGGGGCAGCTCCACCTTTTCTCACGCCACCAGGGGGCCCACGGGAAAGGCGTGGATCAATCGCGCCACGGCGGCAAACGGCCTGAGTGAGCGCTTCAGAGGGATCGCAGAGCTCTTTCCCGAATTCCTGGGGGGCGAGGCGAACCGGGTCGCTGCAATCGACGCCGCACAGGGGCAGGAAGCCTCCCTCGTCATCCTCGTGACCACTCGGGCCAACTCCATGCTAAACTGCGGCCGCGTCGACGACCGGCGCCGCGTCAACGTGGGGCTGGCGCGTCCGCAGTGCAACCTCATCATGGCGGCCGACGCAAGGATGTTCCGCGCGGCCACAGACGCTGCGCTCCTTCACCTGAGCACCTGGGCCCGGAAGGCGGACCTTGCCCTTGAATTCCACATTCACCGAGACGGAAGCCTACGTCAGACCAAGGCCGACCTAAAGGTTCTCATGGGCGAAATACCCGAATCAGCCATCCCTGATGAAAACGCCGGGCTCGTGGCGGAGGCCGAGCGCAGACGGAAGGAGAAGGAGGCAATCAAGGCCCGGCAGGCTCATCAGGCTGGCTTCGCGGCACGCGCCGATCTACCGCTCCCTGCCAACCGCAGCTGGAAGGGCCTGGAGGACGATGTCAACGTGGCAACGACGAGGCTACTGGGCTGCGCAGCTCTCAGTGCGTGCCTGCTATGGTGCCTTGGGCTGCACCTGCACCGGCGCGGCGTCGCGGACCAGCCTACTGATCCCAGCCTTCAGGACAGGAAGGGATGGAGCATGAACGGGTGCCTCTTCTGCTGCTCGGCGCTGGTAGGACAGGGCGCCGGCAACCTGGTCTACGCTGCGGTCTTCGCGACCATCGCGCGGGCGATAGGACTCGGAGCCACCGACAAAGACAGCGCGCGCGTACTCGACCCCAACCTGATCCCGCCCCGAAGGAACCAACCGTACATGCCAGCAGCGTGGCATATCAAGGAGACCTGTATCCCCACCGACGTCCCCAGGCGCAGAACAGAATGCTGGCACCCATCTACCTACAAGTGCCAGAAATACAAGGAGCCACCCACAACGGCCGTGTTTCATGTCTTCTGCAACGTGGGTCCAAAAGAAAGCCCAGCTGCAGTTGTCCTCAGCCTACTGGACAGCACCGGCGCGACCCTGGATGGCATCCAGGCCAGGATCCTCCTCGCCCTGTCCCTGCTTATACAGCGCGAACCACGTGCCTGTCTGTGCCCGTACGGGGGCGCCGAGGGCATCGGAGACGTGATCGAGGCCATCCTCGGCTTGTGCGAGCCGCGCCGCCCGCGCGACAAGACTGCTCGTGACCAGTTGGGCGCGTTGTTCGGGCTCCAGTGGAAACACTTCAAGCAGCTGCACTCAGCGCTGGAGCTCCTGATCACAGCGGTGTCCCGCTTAGTCGCGGTCGCCCGCCACCTCCCCCAGGCCAGGAGTGCGAACTGCCCCGCGTCCTGGGAGGGCCGAGTGGCTAAGAAATTCCCGCTCCAGGCCGCCCTCGCAGTCGTCGAGGGCGTCGTGTCCACAGCCAACCTGTCAGCCTTGGCAGTCCACGAGTGCGCCGTATGCGCGCTCTACGTCGACGTGATCGGATCCGACACCGGCCTCGCCCACGACCCGACCAAGCAGGCAAGCAGCGTCACCTGGATAGGTGGAGGATGCTCCTACACGCGCCTGCACCTGGACGCCCGCCCCTCCCGGGCCACGCCCTGGAGTGACACTGAGGCCCCCACGGCTAGACAGCCGAGACACCAGGTGAAGGAAGGACCAGCATAAGGCCAACTTCTACTGTCAAGGGTGCCTGCGCGGCCCCTTCAAGCACGATAAGGGCGCATGCGTCAGCAAACGAATTCGCCAAACCATCAGCAGCAACAGGCTGGCGGAGTACTGCCAGGGGAAAGACCTGACCTGGCTTTGCATATGCTGCTGGACTACGAAGGCAATGGCCGAGCGGCAGCCCATTCCAGACGATGTGGGCTTCAAGAGCTGGATCAACGACCGCCCCGACGACGTGCCTGTCCGGGCAGCGCGTGCCCTTCCCGGGCTGTGTCCGACGTCCTTTGCCCACGGCCCTGACGCCACTGGACCAGTTACTGGTCCCACTGGAAGGCGACCTGAACCCCCTCAAGGTGGGAATCACCCTCCCAGCCAGCATCGCGAACGACGGCCGCCTGATCATCCAATACTACAAGGAGAAGTCGGCATCTGGAGATGTGATGGATGCCCCTCCGGCACAGAGGGACACTGGCGGGGGCCAAGGCAGGCCTGCCCTGGCATGTGCGGGCACGCCGCGGATCCAGAAGGACTCCGCCACGGCTTCAACCTGGTCCACGGGCTCCCTCCCGTGCAGCTGATGAGGGAGATGTTCCTGGCCAAACGCTGGCGCGCGGGCTGGTGCTGCAAGGAATGCCTTATCCACCAATGGGACATGTCCCCATCAGCCGTGAGCCAGGTAATCAACAGATACGGACCTGGCGTATACCCAAGAGCAGGGGCCAAACCTCTCCCCGCGCTACCGGGCATCCCCGCCTCGTCGGCAGAGGGCGCAGCGCGCCCCAGCCAAGAGGAGATGCTGCGGCGCGCAGCCGCCTGGGATGAGGCTGAGCGCAGCTACTGCGACCGCCGCGCCTCTGCACTGCCACCCCCCGTCCTGGATCCCGACGCTGCTGCTTCCGCTCAGCCGCCCACTGGGGGCGCAACGGCCAGCGGGGCCCAGCAGCGCGCCAACCCTCGGGCGGGCGTGCGCCCCGAGCAGACACCCAGCCCAGCCCAGTCAACAAGGCCCACCAAGGACAAGCGCGTGACACCCTGCCCAACACCCACCAAACTGCCCACTAACGGAGGCGATTCACCCCTTCCCCCTTTACTTTCATCCACTCCGCGTGGCGACGAGCCGACCCCGGCCCAGCCGGCCGCGCGACCCGCGGCCGCCAAGTCCGGCGGGGCGCCGCCATCCGTTGGCCCAACACCTGAAACCCTCGGAAGGTGTGCAGAACGCGGCAGCCGTGAAGTGCAGCAAGGGCAGGTCCCGGACGCGCCCATCGTGGGCTCCGCGTCCAGTGCGGCGACTACGTGGTCATCAGGGGTGACACCCTTCCCCGCGCCAGGTGGTTCAGCGCTGCGGACTGCACCGAGCCCCTAACGACGCAGCCCCTGGACGGAGCCGTCTTCGGACCCGTCCTCCGTATCATGGCCCGCGAACAGGACGCGCGAACGCTACTCGTCCAGATCGGCAGCGAGTGGCTGGAAATACGAGGCGTCGGCGACAGGACGCTACGCGTAAACGTCCTCCGTGGGGACGCAGCGCTCCGCGCAGCTACCTTTCTGGACAATGCCCATAGCAAGGTGCGCAGAAAGCAAGCACCAGCAATCCTCGACAACCCCATCGAAAAGGCATCGACACCACGGGAGACAAAGCGGCGTCCTCATGACAGGCCCAAGCCTAAGCCCTACCCGCCGCAATCCAGCACGCAGGACCCCACTTACGAACCTGCACCCCTCATGCCCCCTAAGGAGGAGGGCCCCGACTGGGGCAGCGACGACGAGGCACGAGAGCAGAAACTGCGCCTCGCCGAGGCCCTGAGCGAGGTCCATCCTGTCTCCTCGTCCTCAGAGGACACAGGCGAAGAGCACCAAGCCAAGACGAGTCCTCAGAGCGAGCGGCACACCAGCCCCGAGATCGACCCGCACAGTTCCGACCAGAGGGCTGCCCACGCACCCGCTGAGCCAATCTTGCGTCTAGAGGCCGTGGCCGACGACCGGCACCTGCGCGCGCGGAACCGCTCCAAGGGCCCAGAGGACCCACTACCTGTGCACACCCCTCTCTCCGCGCACCTCCTAGAGTGCTCGCGCGGCAGGGTGCGGGAGCCAGTCGCCTGGGAGCCGTGCGCGACGGCGGTGAGGCTCGAGTCCAGAGAGGACGACCGGCCCCGCGCAGGAGAGCGAGGCCGAGACCGCGACCGCGACCGCAACCAGAGCGCGTCGGGGGCACCTTGGCGCAGACACGACGCCAAGGACTGGGACAGAACTAAGGGGCGCTACTGAGACCAGAGCCACGACGCTGGCAGGGGCGCACGTAGAGCACCCTGGCGCCAGCCAGATTCGCGCAACTCTTGCTACAAGGACGATCGCAGCCACACCGACACCAACTAGACGCGCACCACCTTCCGCGTTGGATGGCAGCGCCTCCCAAACGAGACAGCGGTAACACACCTGAAGAGGCTGCAAGCAGAAGGGGGATACCATTTCAACGCAGCCTGGCATTCATGGTGCAGGCACATGTGCAAAGAGCAGGGCAAGGGCAAATCCAAAGACCAGGCGCCCTTCGACCCGTGCCGCTGGCAGCAGTGGATCATCGACAAATTCCTGGATGACATGAGCGCCAGCAGCGCAGGCGTCTACGTGGACTGGGAGCGGGAGCAGAAGCTCTACCAGGAAGTGCAGAAGAAGAAAGGAGGTCGCTAAGGGTGACGGGCGCGACGGGAACCAGGCGCGCAGCTCCGGGTACCACGACACCTGGACTGGAAAGCGCCCGCGGCGCGACCACACTTGCCCCACGGCACCACAGCACAACCAGCCAATCGCTCCCACTACCTGCTCCCCCGACCCCGACCCACACCCCAACCTGTCACCTTGCTGGGGACCGTGTGTCCCTCTCATCCCCACTACCTGCGCCCCATCGCCCCTGTGGCGCCCGCGTTCCACGTGCTGGCTACCCACCCTTCCACCTGGACCCAATTATTTCCTCCCTCTCCCCTCCCCCTTTCCCGTTTCCAAGGATCTGGGACTCTGTGTCCTACCCGTACCCATCGGCTGAATGAGATTCAAGGATCTGGAACTCTGTGTCCCCCCCGTACCCACCTGCGACGCTTTGGTGCGCCAGCGACTTGCGTGACACGTCCGCGTTGGGACCTCGTGTCTTACCTGTACGCATTGGGGCTTGTCCCCACGTGAGCACCTCGGTGCATGCTGGCGTGACTTCGGCTGGCGCGGGACGCCGGCCTCTCTCCTCCCTGTTCGCTTCTTCCCCCCCCGCTCGCTCCCCCCCCCTCCCATGGCGGCGGCGCCCGGCACAGCGCGGCTCCGGCCCGGTGACTGGCACTGCACCTTGCCGCTTCGGCGGCCCCGCTTACCCTGGGCAGCGCGGCTCAGGCCCGGCCCTCGGCCATGCGGACACAGACGGCCCTGCTTCTGGCCGCACCTCTTGGCTGCTTCCTGGACGTGGATTGGACTACCACCCCAGGCCGCTACCGACCACCCGGTGGCACAACGATGCACATCGTCTTCGTGGTCATCCTCATCTCCTGGGCCTCTCTTCGCCAATTGGTGGCACCTGTTGCTCTTCGCCTACCTGGTGTACCTCTACCCCCCGGACGTCGACCTGGTCACGTCCTTCCGCACGCAGCACTTGAGGATGGTGATTTTGACGCGCCGTCGACGGCAACACCACTTCGCTCTCCCTCCGGGACTTCGCCTTCGGCTCCTGTCCAAGGCGTGCCTTTTCCTGTGCAAGCTCTTCAACACCGCCTGCACCCCGCACCCTCCGGCCACCTGAGGCCCCGCCCGCCCGCGCCCTGTCTCCCCAATTAAAGCTTTGCGCGGCTCGTCTAGCTCTTAACCGGAAGAGGCTCGCTCTCGACCCGTAAACCAAAAATTTTTGCTTCCGCAACCTGCCGCCGCCCTTCCGCGGGCTTCCGCCCGCGGAGGCGGCCTTGTTTTACTTCCGCCAACCTTCTGCCGCCCTTCCGCTGGGATTCCGCCCGCGGAGGCGGCCTCGTTCTACTCCCGCCAACCTTCCGCCGAGGAAGAGATGGGCACCTCCTTCGATCCTCGGAGGCAGGGCCACCTTTTGGAGCGCCTCAACTCCTTTGGAGCCTCGGACCTCCGTGGAGGAGGAGGAGGGCCCCCCCCGCCCCCGGTCCCAGGGGCTGCAGCGGAACGGGCTGGGCGGGTTCGGCGTGCCGCCGCGCACGTGGGGCACGCTCCTCGCCCGCGGACGGCTGGGCGTGGGCGTGGGGGCCTCGCGGGGGGGCGGGCGGGCGGGCGGGGAGGAAAGGGAGAGAGGGAGACAGGCGCGAGAGCGAACCCTCCTCCTCTTGCCCCTCCTCTTCCTCCTCCTCCTCCTCCTCCTCCTTCTCCTCTTTTTCCTCCTCCTCCTCCTCTTCTTCCTCCTCCTTCTCTTGCTGCTCCTGCTGACGGTGCTCGAATCCGAATGGACGCGACCAATGGCGACGTGGCCGGGCCGCCTCGGAGGCTTGTGGGGCTACGCTTAGGTCGGGCGTGTCCCCTACAGAAATAAAAATTACAGTGGGGGCGTTGACCTAAGGAACCCTAAATAAGGAACAGGGCCCCTTTCTCCCATAAGTTGAACTTCGATTTCCCATGGAAAACCTAAGGAAAACAGAAGGCAAACTGTCGAACAATCAAGGAACACCGAGCCCCTCCCCAACGAAAAGGGTTCCTTCTTCAGGGCCCCGGCTGTAGCCTGGCGAAAGACCCAACCATATGCACTTGTGAGTACCGCAGTTGTGAATATAGTCCTCGGTGGAGCTCCTTATGGGGCCACAAACTGTGTGAGGGGCCTGCCACAGTGGTGGTGGGGGAACGGGCAACCCCACTGGGGCCTTGGGTGGAGCTCCTTATGGGGCCACGAAGCGTTGCCCTGGGCGGGGGAACCGCATGTGGGCACCCCCATTGAGGCCTTCGGTGGAGCTCCCTATGGGGCCACGAAGCGCTGCCCTGGGTGGGGGAACCGCATGCGGGCACCCCCACTGGGGCCTTCGGTGGAGCTCCCATGGGGCTACGAAACGCTGCGCTGGGTGGGGGAACCGCATGCGGGCACCCCCACTGGTGCCTACGGTGGAGCTCCCTGTGGGGCCAAGAAACGCTGCCCTGGCTGGGGGAACCGCATGCGGGCACCCCCACTGGGGCCTGCGGTGGAGCTCCCTGTGGGGCCACGAAACGTTGCCCTGGGTGGGGGAACCGCATGCGGGCACCCCCACTGGGGCCTTCGGTGGAGCTTCCTATGGGGCCACGAAGCGCTGCCCTGGGTGGGGGAACCGCATGCGGGCACCCCCACTGGGGCCTGCGGTGGAGCTCACTGTGGGGCCACGAAACGCTGCACTGGGCGGGGGAACCGCATGCGGGCACCCCCACTGGTGCCTACGGTGGAGCTCCCTATGGGGCCACGAGGCGCTGCCCTGGGTGGGGGAACCGCATGCGGGCACCACCAGTGGGGCCTTCGGTGGAGCTCCCATGGGGCTACGCAACGCTGCACTGGGTGGGGGACCCGCATGCGGGCACCCCCACTGGGGCCTACGGTGGAGCTCCTTATGTGGCCACGAAGCGCTGCGCTGGGTGGGGGAACCGCATGCGGGCACCCCCACTGGGGCCTTCGGTGGAGCTCCCTATGGGGCCACGGAACGCTGCCCTGGGTGGGGGAACCGCATGCGGGCACCCCCACTGGGGCCTTCGGTGGAGCTCCCTATGGGGCTACGAAACGAAGCAAGGAGGGGGAGGAAGGATGGGGGGTGGGGAGGAGGGGGGAGGGGGAGGAATGAAGGAAGGAAGGAGGAGACGCGCGGCGCTGTCTCTTCAAAACGAGGACCCAACACCACAGGATGGTTGGGAAATCAAGCATGATCAAACATATGCAAAGCATCGTCCCCATATTATGTTTTGACTATTTTGGAATATTCCTCCTGTAGAGGGACAGGCCCGGCTTAAGGCTACGCCTCCAAAAATGGTCCGTAGAGCCCGAAGAACCTCGAGACGGGTCCAAGAAACTGTAGCCATTTTGGCTCAAGGTCAAGGCTCAAGCGAGGCTGCAGGTCAAGGTTTGAAACCAGAGGCCACACATTTTCAACCACCTAAGTAGCCTACTGTCTGTCACATATTCGGACCTCTCCAATTTCGTGAAGATGCCGGCGGAAAAGCATCACATGGGGACTCCAGTAAAAAGTGCGCTCAGGCAAGTCCACACCATGACCACCCCACCGAGAGCAGGGAATCAACGCCGAGTGGAGCCTCGCCTCCGAAGTCCACTTCATGGGATGGGCGACGCACCGCCTGGCGCAGCTGTTGCTGAATGGGCATCCGGAGCAGCAACACTACCTGAAGACGATGCCGGGGTCACTGCCGCAGCGTCTGCAGCATCATCAAGCTCTCCAGTCACGCTGTAGGCCATCGAGAAACTTCTGCAGCCGATTCAAACAGACATCGCACTAATCAAAACACATGGAGTTTCTCAAACTGACCTTCAGCTTGCAGTGGCGCCATTAAAGACAGCTGTGGACGAGTTGAAGGACTCAGTAGACAACGAGATGGAAAACATCAACATTCGTGCTACAAACATGGAAAACCGTTTGGAAGAATTGGTAGACGATGTGGAAACTCGATTGAGCAAGCTGGAAATAGCATTAGCTGATCCAACAAAAACGCCTCGTTCGGCTTCCGGAGCATCACACACCACGGCCATTGATTCGAAACTGGAAGACTTAGAGCGTCAGATTTTGGCGCTACAGCAGCACAAGCCGGCAGACAAGGCTAATACTTACCACACGCATGGGAAGCGTGCAGTCACGGCTGTCGTCGGTAACCTGAACGACTTCGACTCCGAAGACTCCGCATTCGCATACATCCGGGAGCAACTGTCGTCGATGAACGGTCCCATCCCGACTAACATGTACTCGAAAGGTGAGTTTGGAAACATCATATTTCTTGAATTTGGGGACATGCTTGAACGAGATACGGCCGTTGCACTCTTTCGGAGCGCACGTTTACAACGAGGTGATACCACAGTATGGGCATGCCAAGATCGGGAGCCTTCAGAAAGAGCTGCCCGCAATTTCGCATTTGGGCTAAAATATTTACTCAAGGACGACATGCAGAGCGAGTACATCATTGAATAATCCGACAATGCACCCTACCAGGTACACGTCGGAGGGCAATTGGCGCTTACTGTACATGCGGGCCCTGGCGGTGTCCATCGGGAGTGGGCGGAGGATTGGAAGAATTGGCATGATTTGCAAAACCACGCCAAAATGAAAACATTGGTGGAAAAATGCGACTCCCTAGTCCGCCGTTCTCGGGCAGGAATGAAAGGCGAGGCGAAAGGGCAATCCAAAGGGACGACAAGCAAGTAGGACATACATGCGGCATCTGGTTGGGTTTGCCAGGGGACCGATGCCGCAACACCGCAGTCCATAAAGCAAGCACCTGGCTATGTTTCGATTTCCCTCTCTTCTAGATTTGAGTATGCCAACTCTCCACGTGACAGCCTGGACATGGGCAAAGCTACCATTCCCGGGAACAGCGTAAACGACGGTGACATTTTATCTACACATGCATCCCCATCTGGGCTGGGCAAAGATACCACCCAGTCGTCGTTGAAGGTACACCAACAGGTATCTGAACATCGTTATGGGCATGATCGCAAAGGCACTGGGCATGCGGAGCTGGGCAAAGCTACCAACACCGGACCAGTCGTCAAGCAGACAGGCAAAGATCGAGTGCAAGCTTCACCATTCAATACCTCTTCAACCTCATCTTCTTCACCTTCTTCGCCAACTTCCCTAAAGTGTGCTACTTGAAATGTCCGCGGCCTCACAGAGATAAAGGGCATTGAGCTGATCAAACACATGCAGTACTACAACATTGGTGTGCTGTGTATTCAAGAAACAAGGCTCTCTAAAGCCGACGTGTACCAACAGGACGAATACACATTCATTCTCTCTGGTAACAATACAGACGATCGCACATGGGCAGGGGTTGGGATCATAGTCGCACCGCACGTTCGCAAACACATTACATCGTACAAGCAAGTGTCAGAACGGCTGTGCGTACTCAAAACTACGACTGCACGGGAAAACGATGGGCATATTTTGTGTATACGCGCCACACAATCTTAAACCTCTACCTGAACGTGCGGGCTTTTACCACGTATTGGACAAAGAATTCAGAGCATGCCGGGCGAACCTGGGAAAAATCATTCAGGGAGACTTCAATGCACGCATTGGCCAGGCGCATCCCGGAGAAGACGCTGTTGGCGAGCATGGCTGGGGGAGGGAAGCCGTGCACGAAGTGGAATCACCAAACAGAGAACTACTACTAGAGTTCTGCGTGGGCGCAGGCCTTGTGATTACAAACACCTTCATGAATCAGAGCTTGGACACGAAAGTTACTTTTCCGGGAAGCTGGGTTGTTACCACTGGCTGCCATTACACCGGCATCTCATAATATCTTGGATTTGGTGTTATGTGAACCTGGATGGTTGGGATCATTCAAAGAGTTCGGCAGCCACCGACGAGCAGCGCTAGCTACAGACCACTACTTGGTATCATGGTCACTGGGGATTGAAGTTTCGCCTGCAGCCACCAAAAAAACCTCCGGTTACGACAAGACGGCGCTCAAGCATAAAGATGTCCGCGAAGCTTTCACAAACATGTTCAATTCCAGGGAGGGCGCAGCCGACACTGCGCAACAAACTTGGGAGAACATGAAACGTGCGATCGCTGAGGCTGAACATGTTCTGCCCCGTAAGGGCCGCAAAACACAGCAGCCATGGGTTTCTCAGAAGACATCAGATCTGATAGATCAAAGGAGTTTGGCACGATCCTCTCAAAATCCGATGGCAGAAAGGTCGCTACTCAAACAAGTAAGGAAATCAGTTAAGCAAGATAAAACAACTTGGATAGACCAGCAAATCGCTGATGGGTGCTGGGCCTCACTTAAGCGAGTTTGCCGGCCGAAGCCGCGCAGGCAGGGAAGGATCAGGAATCTGGATGGCGAACTTGTTGAAAGCACAGAGAAAGCAGACACAATGGCGGAGTACTTCGAAAAATTGCAGTGGAAAGAGCGACCTGCGACGCTCATACCGCGTGAGCCACTTGGACCACCATTGCTTATTTCAGACGGCGATTTCTCAATGCAAGAGGTGCGAAAGGCGACTTCTATCTTAAAGTAAGGGAAAGCACCTGGACCAGATAGCATTTCGCCGGAATATTGGAAGACCCTCGGGGA